CTTTGCACATTGTAGTTCTTTTCACGCTGCATCTCCTGGTATATTTTGTTTTTCTAAAACAACTTATTAAGTGATGCAAAAATGAAATGGAAAAAGGCCGTTTTTTTTTGTCCGAGGGAGAGTTGAAATACATGATTCGAAACAACAAAGTGATACAAGACTTTTGAGGTGCACTGTTTATGGGTAAGACTATTTTATCGGAATTGCTGTAATCAAACTCGATTCTATATCCAATCTAGAGTTAATTTTAACACATTATGACGACATTTAATTATTAAAAACAAGGGTCACAAAAAATAAAAGAAAAATTCTTGTTTTAGCAGACACAAACACGAAGATAATGACCAAGATAAAAATAATGATAAAAGATATTCGATAGAAAACATATTCTTTTCAAAACATGGTCTCATATATATGATGTTAGGAATAAAAAAATTACGATTCGACTAGAGATAAATTCATTCAATCGAACTGAATAAAACTCGAATAGAATAACTCTTCGTATTCAGCAATATCTTATTTTATTTTCGTAATCACTTTACAAGTTAAAGTACTTTCGTCTTTTCACCCATATTTGTAAAAACCACTTCGCTTGGAATGATATTTTGTCGACCAAAAAAATTCTATCTTTTTTACATGAACATAATTTTGTAGCGCACTTGCTTTTACCATCACATGTGCAACCGATTATTGAATCCTCTATTCAGACATGTTTTCTATTAGATTGTAACGTGTACATCTATATTCATACTGATTATTGACAGGAGTGGCTATGGATAAATATTTTGTTCTATTTCACTCTACTTTTAGTAACGGATGTTACTATATGAAGTTATCTCTATTCGAATTCGAATTTTGTAATAATACTTTAGATAGGCGAAAATTTATGGAGAATAGAAAGAAAAAAAAAGTATATCGCAATATTAAAATCAACAAAGAGAAGAAAAATAACGCTACAGTGAACACATATATGCCGTTGTTTTGAAACATTTGTATTTCTATCTTTCACTTTTTATTGTTGTGTAAAAAGTAATTATTCAGTATGAATGTTATTTTTAAATTAACATAGAATTTCCAAGTGCCAACAAGATGACATTAACTAATTATAAATATAAGAAATAAGGATGTAAATCTACTATCTCTATTATTGATTTATTAAATGTTTTAAGAAAGAAGTATCTATGCATAGTTACAAAGTATAACACAATGGCATAAGTAAATAGTCGCATTTTTTTTCTATTAATATGTGAAACTTTTATGAATGAAAGAATTCTTAATTCTTGTTTTTTTAATAAGTGTCTATATTTTGCTAAAACAAATATAGAAAAAAAAAGATGTTTATAGAAATTTCTACTCATGTCATATTAAATTTTTAGAGACTAAACGCACTGGCAGCTCGTGCTGAATGAACATGATGAAGTTTAGAAAAAGAAAAGATAAAATATGACATTCAACGGAATGATTATTATGAGAACAAGTGACAGCAAATGCACTTTTTTGCTAACAGAAAAAAAATATAGAGAGAGAAATTAATAAAAAGACATCAATTTTTATAGAAATACAAGAATTATAAACCTATTTTTTGTTTTTTTGGAAGAAAAATTACTAAAACTGATTCATTGATTACATCATTCTATAGTCCTGTTTAGCTTAAATATTCTTTTATTTGTTATGTCATTTATCATTTTATCATTATTCATTACGTACAAATTTTAATAACCTTGAAAAATATTAGTTAAAATTTCATAATGAAAAAATATGAACAATTTATTTTCTGGAAAAAGATGTGACATGAATCACTAACATTGATGATGCAAATATTATATTTGCAGTTCTGTTATAGACATGAAAAAAAAATAGTGACAGCGGTGAGATTCGAACTCACGCCCTTTCGGACCGGTGCCTTAAACCGGCGCCTTAGACCGCTCGGCCACGCTGCCTATTTATAACTATGTGCTAAAATCTATTTCAATTGCATTTATGTCTCCCAACAAAGTTAATCGACAAATTTAAAATATATAGCAATAAAAATAAACTATTATTTTTAAATTTGAATATTATAAATTTACAAAAAAAATGAGAAAAGATTTAATGCAATTATTAATTGTTTTTATTAGTTAATTAACTATTTCTTGAACACTTTTTTTCTACATTTATATTAATCATACATAGAAGCACAAATAATTTTTTTCGTAGACCAAACTTTACTATATTGTGTGTTGTCATTATATTCCTGGTTCAATTTCTGATTAATATTTAGATTTTGTAATATTACAAAACAATCTTTCAGATAACTCTATTGTTAAATAAATCATCGGTAATAATCCATTCGCTTTGTCTGTACTAAAAGTCTATCTATCATTCATAAAAAATAAAATAATAAAGATATGAAATACATAGGAATTTAAATAAAATAACGATTGCAAAAATAAATAAATAAAACAATGAATTTTTCAAAATTTTCAACAACATTCAGTGTTTGTTAAATATTAAAGTATCTTTGAATATACATAATATTCGATTTTCTTTTAGATAATTCATATATTTGTGGATTAATAAATGGTAAACTAATGACAAGTATAATAGCATTAATACTCGATGAAACCCATCCAATCGAATTCATATATGGATCTCGATAACCTTTTGGTAAATGAATAAATAAATCAATAAGTAATGGAAGTGATACCATACTTATAACTGTTACAATTAATATCATATGATGAATAATAAGAAAATCACGACGATTTCTTTATTGATAAGGACGTATTATTGTTGTTATATGACGTATTTTCCAAACAATACATAAATAACATGTAGCAATAGTACATAATGGTAAAATAAACGCAAATATAGGCATGTAAATTAATAAAACTAATTCATTATATGATGCTGTACAATAAGGTTCATTATGCAGTAAAAATAAATGGCATTAAAACCAATAAACATTGGAAACATACAGATAAATTAAAAAAAGAATTGAATAGAAATAAATAAACAAAAAGCTAATAGTTGATTGACATAAAGAAATATAATTAGGAAAAATAACTCTTATAAAACGAAATACAGTTTGAATTGTATAACTCCAATATAAACCAGTATGTATGGATAAAAGGAAGTAACCACAAAATCAGCACACAAATGAATCATCGCATCGATAAATAGTTTCTTTTTATTGTATTTAAATCAATATCAAGAAATTATAAAATACTTCTTATAATAAGTAAACAATGTGTATGCATAGAAAGACGTATAAACATATCATTTAAGATTTGTTTACGACGAAAAGAATTCAAACGAATCAGTTGATAAATAATAAATAATAGAAAACTTAAAAAAATTAATAAAGTTCAAAGATTATAAGCTTATAAGAATATGTTAAAATATTTAAAAAACGGTTTAATGCATGCTTTTAACATCATCTTGTATTTTTCTTGATGTGAGGAATAATTAACTCGTTCAGATCGTTAACAAAAAATGAGGTGAAAAAAAAATGCATAGCTTTAAATCATAAAATTTTATTTACTAATGCCTATAAAAAACACATATCAACGTAAACAAACGAATAGAAATCAAAAGTAAGTAATAAGCATTGAATTATATGCAAGATGTCGGTCTCTTTTGAATTAAATAATGACACGAAAACAATGATTCAAAACTTTTTGATTAGATAAAGTGCACACAAGTCAAGATTGAAGTAAGCTTTATTCTCTGGTTTTTAATACATACTTGCATAGACCATGAGCTACTAATTAAGAAAAATAGGCTTTTAATTTCTGTCAATAGCGTTTTCTGCTGAACAAGAAATCTAAAAATTGATCATTAGTTTTAATTAATGTGAATGTTTTTGTTCTGATTCTGTGACTAATTTTTTTCAAATCCAGCGTCAAAAACTAAGTTTAAATATGCTATTAAATCAAATCTGATCCTTCAACTCTGTTGATCGTGGCGATCCGACTTGATATTATTCGCATGCTGAGAGCTCGTTTTTGTAAATAGATCTATCTAGACCGTTTTGTGTAAGTGATAAAGCCAAATATGTTATCTCATGTACTTCATCGTAATATAAGACATAAAACTACGCATTGCTTTCTTTTCTTTCCCTTTCCTTGTCAAGAAGAATAATTTTTGTTAATGTTACTTAGATTGCTGTTCGTTTTTCTCACTTTTCTTTATCAAAAATGGCCTTTCATGCAATAACATTATCATATTTGGTATCAGCATTAAAACCTTGGTCAACTTATGTATGTTTTCAAAATTTTCGTTATCTTTCATTTTTTTGAAGAATTGTTTAGCCATTAGTTTAGGGTGACAACTCGAAAAAAAAACTGAAATAAACAGAAATGATAAAAATTTACATCAATCGACTGAGGTGTTTATGCTAATTCCAAATACGATAATCTTATTTCATGAAAGCTTAGTTGAAATTGTAAATGACTTGAGCAGAAACTATTCTTCTCGACAAAGAAAAAGAAAGAAACATAAAGTGATGCGTGCTTTCATAACTTGTAGTACGATGAATTACATGACATAAAATCTAGCGTTGTATCACTTACATAAAAAAAACTACTAGATAGATCTGTTTACAAAAATTGATTCTAAGCATGCGAATAGCATCAAGCCGGATTGCCATGTTCAACAGTTTTGGGATCAGATTCACGTTGATAGCATATTTAGTCGCAGTTTCTTTCGCTGAATTTGAAAAAAAAATCACATAAATTGAAAATAATGATTTTGTTTACAAAAAAACTACTGTCACCCAGTTTTTTTAATGAACATCTCACGATCTATCGAACCATGTATAGAAAAACAAACAGGGAGAAAAATCTTACTAGATTTTTGACTTGCTTACACTTTACAATTCTATTTCTTTTACTTCAAATGTAATCTGGAATGAAAAATTAATTAATGAATTTTCTGAAGAATTGAAACCAAAAAATATTTTTTGATTGAATACATAAGCATGTAAAATAGACAGAAATTATCATTAAGTACTTTTATATTTATGATACTGATAAGTGGCATAATTTGCAAGCAATTTTGTTTTCACCTCACAGAAATGTCATAAAAAGAAATGTAAACTTATCGGCTAAAGATGTTCTCTTGTCAACTGCCTCCTTCCAATTTCAAAGACATTTTGCCAATAGATACTAGATTGTGTTCTAATAAAGCATCTAAAATGGTTTGGATCCCTATTGAGATTTGATTAAGCTATCAAATTTTTAATGTCTATTTTCTAGTCGTTTCAGATTTTCGAAAAAAACATATTTTCGAATTTTGATGTGAAGTTTTGCACATGTAGGAGACTCAGTTAGACTAGTTTCCATAAAAAAAAGTTCACAAGTTTTGAACAGAGTCTCTTTCAGATTTGAGTCTTTTTATGAAAGCTTGTCTAAGAGGATTATCGATATGTGCAAAGTTTCAGATAAAAAAGTTCGAAAATACGACTTTTCCAAGAGTCTCGAACGTTTAGACACTAGACATGTTAAAAATTCGATAGCTTAGTCAAATCTCAATAGAGATTCGAATCTTTTGTAGTGTCTATAGACAAAATATCATTGAAACGAGAAGGTAAGCAGCAAATGAGATTTTCTCATGAATTAGAATCTCTGCTGACTTTTTCAGCTGCCATTACCACGATACAAAAAATAGAATATTCAGTTTTCGAAAATTTTGCGATATCTAGGATCAATCTTCAGCGATGCTCTTCTCATATATAAAAGTGTCTGACTTTTATCAATTGTTTTTTATTGAAAAATCGATTAAAACCAAATTAAATCTCTCTTTCAAGTTGAATATTAAATTTTAATCGAGTCGACAAAAAGATAATTCTCGTACAAACAGAAGTGTGAAATTAACGTGTTTCAACAGTTCGTACTTTTTTTTTTCTATTTAGCTCATTATACACAGTCAGAGATGCCTGAAATTTCGTATTTTAAGGGTTGTCTTTCTCTGATAATTCAATCTCGTTATGACAATTTTTTAGAAAAAAATAACATTTCTTCGTATTTTCCATATAAATAATTATAATTCGCAAAAATGGAACGTGTTTGACTGAGTTCATTTCGTTTATATTAATGAAAATAATATTACAATTAAAACTAGTGAAAAATATTTATAACACATAACTTAATATTACAAGCAATAGTAAAATGCAATATTTAGTAATACCTAGCAGAGTCCAGGTAACATCAGTTCATAGAAAATCAGCGGTTAAGAAGTATAGTATAGTTATGTAGTTTCATTTCAATCTAAATAACCTTCTTAATAGTTTAATAACTGAAAAAGAAGAAAATTAAATGATATTTTTTTTTTGTCAAATTTTTTTAAATTATTTGCTCATATTGAAGTTTGAATGTTTTAAATAGAATTTGTTCATAGTGGAAGGTACCCCCTAGCATAGTTATTAATGTCAAGCTAACTTCAACGAGTATGTTTGTCTCCAAGGAAACAGTTTTAAAGAAAAACAACAGTTAAGTACACGTCCAATGTATTTTTTTTTTTTGAAAGACCTCATCATGTGCAACTCATATGAATGTGTAGTTCATTGATTAGGTCCTATGACCATGTGAAAGCTTTTCTCCTCGAGAGAACCTAAAGAACTTTTCAGATTATACTGCAAAAGTGCATTGAACTAACTTCACAATACGTTTTCAATAGATGAACACATTTTTCAATAGATTATTGTTTTCTGTTAGTTGTTGCAGGCTCCGATAGTCGTAACGATAATTCTAGTTTATTGATTCATTTATAAAAAAAATTCTTAAAAATCAAATATTGCAGTGACAAACAAAAGCGAAGTTCACATCACAAAATATTCTACTACAAAAGAACTAATCAAAAATAAGATGTGAGCGCATAAACGATTAACTTCGAGTCACCGAATATTTTAACTCTCTTTACTGGTCATCTATTCTATGTAGAAAAATGAGATGAATCTTTTAATTATAAATTCAAGTAAAATTCTGTAGAATAGAGATTCAACATACGCAAAGTACGCATATAAAAACAATCTGCCAGTCGATTTTATATTGTCATGCATCCGTCAGACGGACATCAGCTAAAGTTTTGGATGCAAATACGAAATACTTGAAAGATTTTGAAAAGAATATAGATCGACTCTAATTTTAATATTGACTTCAAATATACTATTCGGTTTTATCAAAATCCGACTTACTTTTATGAAATATGCTCCAAGCCAAATAAAAAAGTACTCCTTTCATACCCTCGGGCATTGTATGTATACTTTATTTATGTTGGATCCAGTCTATTTCGAATGAATTATATGTCATTTCGTAGCTTTCACTTTCTCTCTTTATTCAATTCAATGATATATAACAGAGTATGACTTGCAAGGAGAAAAAGACATCAAACAACGCTAATCATTGTTCAACGGTTAGCTATTGAATTATGTTAAATAGAGGAACAGTAGTTCTTTTATGAAATTACACAAAAATAAATGCTCTTTGTAAACAATTGTCAATTGATATTGATATATTATCAAGAAATTCTATGTTTTAGAATCATACTAAACAAACAGAAGTTTAATGAATGTCTAATGACTATTTATGAATATTCTAGTTTTAATATGACTTTTATTCTGTAGAATTTTACTTGAATTTATTACTAAAAGATTCGTCTTATTTTTTTTACAGAGAATCATTGATAAAGTGACTTAAAATATTCTGTGACTCCAAGTTAATAGCTTACGCGCTCACA